CTACTAAGGGTCTGGAGGCCTCAGGACAGGGTGGGGATCCAACAGTTTGTGTCAAATGACACTCAGGCACCCCTGTCCCCATCAATGAGTTGGCACCGGCGCAGCTGACGGGACATACAGGTCTGCTGGTGCACTGCAGGAGCAGAGTCCGGCGCACATCCATTCACATGGGTTGACTCTCCAAAGCTAACCAAGTTACAGGAAGCAGCAAGCATTCGTGTTTCTTAAAAGCAAAGCACTGCAATTGTGTATGTATGTAAAGAGGGAAAAGCAACCGCGCAAGCAAACGGTCTTTTGTACAGTCAGAAGACCTGAACCCTTCTTCAGTCCTGGCTGCTTCGGAGCACCCAGCAACCAGCAAGGAACCAGCAAGCCACTGATAGCCAAATAAAATCAAAGGAACAAACAGCTCCTCTACTGCTTTTCCACAGCTCTGCCCTTCAACCTCTAAATCACGTTGCCAGCGAGCCCTGGCTTGTGGCAAAGCCCGTGACCGGTTACTTTCCCAGCTGCTGGAGAGCTGGCAGCGGCTGCCTGCCCCTTGCCCACCGGGCTCATCTCAGCCCCTGCTCTCATTGCCTTCTCCCCTGGCAGCTGGACTCGTGACCAACCACAAGGCCTGAATAACTAGGCAGAATAAATCAGGGTTGATAAAAATAGACTTTATTCCTGTAATATGAAGTGTTTGTTTTAAAAGTCAAATTAGATTTTTTAATATTTAAAAAAAAACTAAACCTCATTAAAATTAGATTTGAAAGTACAGGAACTTGGATCATAAGTCAGTGTAGGATTTCATATATTAAAATGAGTTACATGAAATAATAACTTCTACAGAGACTGACGCAGTGCATATTTGCTGCTAAAGTTCAAAAGGAACCGAAGCACTGAACGGCTCAAAGTCACTGAATAAACACTGCTTTAACTAAGTCACTGATAACAGATTGTTTAATTAGGTCAGAAATAAAGGAACTCACATATCAAATGACATCTAGCATCCCTTAAATACAGTCCTGGCTCTAAGATCAAGACCAGATACCCTTAAGAGAAGGGCCACTTACTACTTGCTAGTAATTAAAACGGTAGCTTAAAACTGAGATACTGAGATCTTAACATTCCTTCTAAAGTGTATCTTAGCCACATAAATGTCAGCCTCACAGTTCTGCTGAATTCTTTTTTAAACTTCCACATAAGCTGCAATAGCAAACTGCAATTTTAGTTTCATGCTGCTTAAAAAGACCCCCTCAAGAAATAAAAAATTCCACTTCTCCGCTTCTACCTGCACTGAGAAGCAGCAGCAAATGGGGCGTCCACTCGATTACAAGCTGGGGAAAGCAGAAGCGCCCTTTCTGCTCTCTGCTCCCCAGTCATTATGGAAGAGACTTCTATTGCCTCCTTTTTATTTGCCTTCCACACTCTGAGTGTTTTCAGATCTGTCTGTGGCTACAAGTTTGTTTGTTTTGTCACATGCAGGAAGAGCTCTGCAATGAGCTGAACTGTACCCTCTGGGGTGATCCTGCCAGAATCCGGATATCGTGGCTTTACAACTTTTGCCGAGTGTTCTCCCTGTTGTTCCCGCTGCATCTCACTATCCCCTTTGCTTCTTAAGTGTAGTTCTTAACTGAGCAAAAGTCTTGCTGAGCCTTCTCCAGCAATGGCCACGTCCCTTTCACCAAAAACAGTGTGTGTAAAGAACAGTTAAATCTGCTTAAATTAGCTTACTTCAGGGGGCTTGCACTGACTTGAGCGGATTGCTTTTCATAATAGCCTGGCAAATAAGACTTCCTATTCCAGGGCAGGCAGGGCTCAATTTATATTGATACCGATTCGCTAACCTTACCATTTTTGGTGATACACATACACTTTTAGCGGCAATCTACAACTCTATTCTCACGCCATGATCTACCCCATCTCTGGTCATCTGGAGAGATGGCTGACGGGCACATGCAGGGCAGGTCTTGGGAGCACCAGAACACGTGCCACAATATCACAGTACTTGGGAATGCACCATACAATAAAACACCGTGTAAGTATAAATACATAGGGTGAAAACAGAGGAGGAAAAGAGAAGGAGAAAGCAGCAACATAAGGGAAGATGGATAAAATGCGAGGAAC